GGTTTTGTTTTAATATAATACAATAATGTTATGTATAAAATTATTTGCTCATATAAAATGATTTTTAATTTAAATATAAATTTAAGGTACTTTAAAAAATTATATGATACATAAGTTGTAATTATTTGTTATTTTAGATTATGTTTTAGGTATATTTTATAATATTTTTTCAGGTTTTGTTTTAATATAATACAATAATGTTATGTATAAAATTATTTGCTCATATAAAATGATTTTTAATTTAAATATAAATTTAAGGTACTTTAAAAAATTATATGATACATAACTTGTTTTGTTGAAATAAAAACAAGTATAAACCATGGTCAATCAAATAGAACAGGCTTTTATGAAAATTTAAGATACTTTGTAAGTCTGAGATTTTGCATAAACTTATAATTATTTGTGCAATTGGAAACAATTTACATATATTTATTGATATACAATTAATATACTTTTTTATTTTATTTGGGAATAAATAAATAAAAACCAAAACATTAACATAATATTCCCCTCCTTTCCCCCAGAGTTAGGCACTTCCATACCCCCATTCTAATCCAATCCCTCTCTGCTCCCCCAGAGCAACACCCGCTCTAACTTATTGCTTCAAGTGCTTTCAAAAAACTGAGGGCGATTCTCACGTTGTGTGTTACTTTGATTTAAAAATATTTCCAGCTTACTCTAAACATCATCAAAGTAGTTCTATTATAATCTACTAACTGATCTACTAATTGATCCAAAGATCTGTGGCTATTAGTAGTTTTTGTGATTTTTTTTCTTATGTTCTTTTTTTGCTGACTTAGAAATAATAACAGATCCACAGTAACAAATGATTAATTTGGTTCTTTAATTGAGCATGCAAAGAATTAACATGATTATAATTATTTGTGCAATTGGAAACAATTTACATATATTTATTGATATACAATTAATATACTTTTTTATTTTATTTGGGAATAAATAAATAAAAACCAAAACATTAACATAATATTCCCCTCCTTTCCCCCAGAGTTAGGCACTTCCATACCCCCATTCTAATCCAATCCCTCTCTGCTCCCCCAGAGCAACACCCGCTCTAACTTATTGCTTCAAGTGCTTTCAAAAAACTGAGGGCGATTCTCACGTTGTGTGTTACTTTGATTTAAAAATATTTCCAGCTTACTCTAAACATCATCAAAGTAGTTCTATTATAATCTACTAACTGATCTACTAATTGATCCAAAGATCTGTGGCTATTAGTAGTTTTTGTGATTTTTTTTCTTATGTTCTTTTTTTGCTGACTTAGAAATAATAACAGATCCACAGTAACAAATGATTTGGGGGGGGGGGCGCAAATTTGGCCTTTGCCCCTGGTCACAAAACACCCTTGCTACGCCTCTGCCAGGCTCCATGTGGTGCTACCACTTTGAAGCACCCCTTTCTCTCCCCCCCACCTCCTCCGCCTTGATGCCTCTTTCTGATAGAGGCAGCAAGGGGGAGGGAAGTGATTAATTGACTAGAGTGTCAACTAGCCAATAAGCATTTACGATTGGATAGTTCACTAGCCGACTAGTCGTTCACATCCCTAATTAAGATTTTGTCATGACAGATCATAGGCAATAAGCAAAAAGTCACAGAATCTGTGACTTTCCCCCACCACGGTAGTGGCTGGGAACTGTGGGGTCTTCCCACTGCACCCTGTGTGAGGGAGTTGCTTGTCACTGGAACCCCATGAGGATCCCTAAGAAGGCTGCCGCCTGTCACTGGAACCTGCAAGGAATCTTGTGGACACTGTCATGGAACCCTGCCAGGCCTTGCAGGCTGTCAGCACTAGTCCCTTAACCACAAGGCCTGATGCAGTAAATGTCAAGCAGGTCTCTGGAATTCAAGGATTCTGTAACATAAACATAGCCTTAAGTGTAATATTACAAAATACTAGCTATGAGAAAGGGGAATAGCAAGAGTAATTTCTGGTCAAAAACAGAAAAATGTTTAATATTTCTATCTATATTTTAGAGCGTGTCTGTCTGTGAGTTCGTTTGTTCAAGAACTCCTCCTAAACAGTAAGAGGTAGGGCCACCAAATTTGATATGCAACTTGCTCTTCTCCTAACTTAAAGCAAGGTCAGGATTTGGTAGTGCCAGAAGAACCGGATGCCTCAGAAAAGGGACAGTTCTCCATAACATGCAAAGTGGGGGGCTGCTGTTCTGAGGGGCACGATATGAGAGTGGACAGTGGGGGCATCAAGCACAGGGAAGAGCTATCCTGCAGAGTCACTACTGGGGGTAGGCATATTACCAAAGAAGTGGCCAGAATGGCTGAGGCGCCATCATATTGCTTGCCAACAGATCAGGTGAGGGCCCCCTTACCTGAAAGATAGCCCCCAAAACTCCCATCCCCCCAGGAGAGCTGTGGGGGGAGGGAAGAGGAGAGGAAAAGGGCCCCACTGCCTTGGACCAGGGAGAAGGGATAGAGGCTGCCTCCCTACCCTGGGCCACAGGTGGGAGGCAAGAGAAGGAGAGAGAGCCCCAAAGCCAGGCTGGGCAAGGCCAGGAGCCTCTGCTGGGCCCCTGGCAACAATCTGGTCAGTGGGGTGTGCAGTTCCTGCTACCGGTCCTCCAAAAGCTTGTGAATGGATTTACTGGTCCCCGTGTCAAAAAGTTTGGGAACCCCTGTCCTAGTATAATTATCAGGGCTCGACAAATAGTGTAATATACTTGCCCGTAGCAAGTAGATTACACCCCGGAAGAGCCAGCATGGAGCGATCTGCGCATGCGCAGAACCATGCGGCTGGCGAGCAGGGCTCGCTGCCACTCGGCGAGCCCTGATAATTATATTTTGAATAAAGTGAGCAAATCTTAGGAGCCCAACAATTATAAAACACCACAAAATTGGGGTTGACTCCCCATCTTAGACAGCACACTTCGGTGGATAATATTGCACTGAATTAGGTTAAAAACCCCACATTTAAAAATCCGTTGAAGCCATGTTAAACATCAGGTGAGAGCCTGACATCAGGTGAGAGCCATCATGTTTCCCACACACAGAGGGCAAAGGTAGCGGGTTGCGAGGAGCAGCCGCACGCTCCTCGCTCGGCCTCTGCAGCCTGGGGATCACACAGCAGCCTGTGCATGTGAGAGCACGTGGAGCACCAGTCTAGGGCACACAGCCCCAGAAAGCTGCACTGGAGGATGCTTGTGCTATTGGCCACAGGATGCTTGGAAAGGCCTCCCATGCTCCTGACGCCAGGGTGGGACACTCTCCCACCTCAAGCTACCACTAGAAGGAAGCTGGGGACATGGAGACACACACACATACTCGGCAGTGCCGCACACAGCACATAAGCATGCCTGCACTCTCAGGGCAGCATCCAATCCTGGGGATAGCGAGGTGAGGCACAGGAGCGTGTCGCTCATACACACCTCCCTCCAACACCCTGCCCCACTCTCCCCCAGTGGTCAAGGATTAAGGATGTTAAGGACTAGTCAACTAGTTGATTCCCCCTCCCCCGCCCCCACTGCCTCTATTAGATAGAGGCAGCAAAGGGGGGGGAAGGGGATACTTCAAAGGAGCAGTCCCACGCAGCTGACCCCAGACTCCATGCTGTGCTGCGGCTTTGAAATACACAAGAGCCCCCGCTGGGGACTCTTGTACATTTAAAAGCTGGTATACCATGTGTAGCCCAGAGTCAGTGGGACTTCACGCTGGCCCAGCTGGGGCTCTTGTACATTCAAAGGAGGAATGTGGAAGTGCCTATCAACTACTTGACTAATCAATTAACCGATAATTAACATCCTTAGCAGTGATACATGTTCTCTCCCTGCGAGATGCTGCCACTGACAGACTCAGCGCGTGCATGGCACAGAGGGAAGTCCAGCCACCCCAAGGCCCCCCTCCTGCCCACAGGATCCCAGTCTGGCCAGCACCTTCACATACCTGCTTGTCCCCGGGATGTGGGGGTAGTGAGGCTCCCCCCATAGACATGTGGGCCCTTGCAGGAAAGAGCCCATTAGCTAGACCACACATGGCCTTGCTCACCTTTGTCCCAAATGACGTCTTTCGGTCTCATCTCAGAGATGTGGCCTCCCAACCTCAAGGGAGCTGCCGAAGCAAAAGACCCATGGACAAGTTCCAGTGGGCACACCTCATGGAACTCCGATCCCTGGAGCAGATCCTAGACCAGAGACTTCAGGAAGACATTCAGCTGCAGCGAGACACCTGGCAGGAGATGCTAGACCAGGGCCACACCACGTGAACAACAGTTCAATCCCTGGTTGCCAGAATGCTGCCTGCTCCTGTTCCTGCCCTGATCCTGCTCCTCCCGCTTCTCCCCAATTCCTACCCCCCATGGCCGCCAAGGCCTCCACACCTGTGGCAGTGGGATCACCAGACCCAGGCACCACTCCCTGCATCAGCCTTAAGACTCTCCTCCCCCTCTCCTCTCACCCCACCCTGATTCTTTCCCCAGTCCCTCCCATTACTTTGACCCCAAATAAAAAAAGCAAACAGTTTATTTTTTCAAAAACAAAAAGTGTGGTTTATTGTCTCAGCAGGGAAGAAAGGGAAGGGAGGAGTGTGGGAGGGAAGGCACAGAGGGGCAATGCACAGGCCCCTAGTGGGGAGGCCCATGGGAGAGTGTAACTGGGGTCCTTGTGAGAAACTCTCCCTTCAGGCATCCTGGATGCCCACAGCCTCGATGGGCCTGCTGGATGGTCAGCCTCTGTCATCCATCCAGGGAGGAACGCCTTCCGCTTTCTCTCATAAATACTGGAAAGAACACAGCACATAGCCACCATGTGTGGGATGTTCTGATACCCAATGTCCAGGCGAGTGAGGAGGTACTGGAACCTCACCTTCAGATGCCTGCCACCATCATGCAGGCTCTGCTGAGCCTGCCACTGAAGCGTTCAAGGGGGCTAGTGTAGGGCTTTATTAGGCAGGGCAGCAAAGGGTAGGCTAAGTCCCCCAACATGCATATCGGCATGTCCACATCCCTGACCCTGATGGTGTGGTCAGGGAAAAAAGTGCTGGTGTGCAGCTTCTGAAACACATTGGAGTTGGAGAAGACACAGGAATCATGTGCCTTCCCTGACCACCCAACGTAGATTTCAGTGAACTGGCTCCAGTGGTCCATGAGAGCTTGCAGGCCCATCGAGAAGTACCCTTCCGGTTGGTGTAGACAGATGCCCAGTGATCGAGGGCCTGGATGAGGATACGGGTGCCATCAATAATCTCCCCTCCCCCACAGTTGGGGAAGCCCATGTTGGCAAAGCCGGTGACAATGGTTTCCAATTGCCCAGGTTGTGCAGCAGAATGGTGTTGATGACCCACACCACCTGTAGAAGGAGACAAACAAAGAAACAGAGAATCACAGGGTTACAGGAGCCCTCGGGAGGTCCCCGAACCCCTCTCCACAGCAGGAGTAACCTTCCCCCCCACACACACTTATCCCATCCCCTGGCAGGGCTTTGTGAGGGTGGTACTGAAAAACCTTCCGGGGAGGGTGCTTCCACCAACCTTCCCCCCTTCTCTTGGGAACCCCATTTCAGCACTTTACCCCCCTCCTGGGACAATAGCCCGAGAGCGCCATACCTGCACAGTTCTGACGACTGATCTCCCCACACCAAACTGGCTCCCTATGGATCAGTAGCTGTCTGGAGTGGCAAGCTTCCACAGGGTGATGGCGACCCACTTCTGAAGGGGGATGGAGGATCACATGTGAGTGCCCTGTCACCTGAGGGCAGAGGTGAGCTACTCACACAGCTCCAGAAAGGTGTCCTTCCTCATCCGGAAATTCTGAAGCCACTGCTGGTTGCCCCACCGCTCCATGACGAGCTGGTCCCACCAGCTGCAACTGGTGTCCAGACGCCAGAAGCAGCAGCGCATGGTGTGCAGGAGAGGACAGATGGACTCCAGCAGCATGAACTGAGCCCACAGACAGATGATGAGGATATCCAAGATAAGTAGGGGGGTTGGGTTCCTTCAGGACCTGGGAGGCAACCTGCAGAAACTGCTGCATGAAGTGTACCACAAGCTGCAATAGCCATTGACTGCCCAGAGGCAGCTCTGGATCCATAGCTGGAGTGCTGAGATGTCCAGCAGGGGAACGACAGTAGGCAAAGGAATGGATTTGCTGTCCCTCAATCAGATAGGCAAAAGAGAAGAGCTTGAGACACTGCTGTAGAGGGGGATCCCTTTAAGCACGAGCCTCAGCTAGCCTCAGGCAGCAGCCACAGAAAGTGAGTGCTGTCCTGATGCCCTGTCTGAACTGGTTCCAGTTGGCCTTAAATGCGACAGCCATCCAGTCAGTGTGGATGCTCTATTTCAAAATAGCTAAGTGATATTTCAATGAGCATTTGGTGTGTAGGTGCACTGTTTCAGAATAAGCTATTTCAGAGTATTTCTTCCAAAATAGCTTATTCTGAAATAATCATGCAGTGTAGACGTAGCCTCAGTTTATATTTTACACTAATTATCTTTTACACAAACTCATAACATGTAGTACACCTTAAATACAGACTACAATTCTCCACCCAACAAAGGAGGCGTCAGCAAAGATATAGCAGACATCAGTAAGCTTCTAGCATCAAGCCCAATATCACACAGCAGACTCCTTTTCTATCAGTAAAGTATCTTACTTATTTGGAATCTGTGAAAAGATTTCCTTCACCCACTTCTCCAAAGTGTCCAAAGATTCTAGTAAGGAAAGAAAAAAGAAAGGTAGAAATATAGGTCAGTGTAATGCATAAAGCCAGGTTTTCAGGAAAATAAAGGCAGTTTGAAAATCTTCTGACATTAATGCAAATTAGCTTGGAGACCTAGAATAAACAGTGCAAGTCAGTATTCAGTAATGCAATAGCTGCAGAGGGTAATCTTAAAAGCCGGTTTGACTGATTTCCCCAGTTTTACCAGATCCCATAGATCTTGGGTTTGGATTATGTTTTGATAAAAGTATCTACTACAACTGCAACTGAGAGATTGGGTGGCATCCATGGCTTTATGATTTATTAGATCCTTATAGTGTAGCAGGTCTGTTCAACCTTCCCCAAGCAGAGTATAAATAATGCAATGATTTCTGAAAGAGATACAGTTGTGTCCCTGAGAAGCATACAGTGCCTACTATATTCAAATCCTACTGCAATATTTGTACAAAAATGCCTTGTGACGTATAACATAAAAACTAGTAACATGCAGGTATGAATATCATTGTAAAATGCACAGGAAGGGAAAGAAAATATTTGGATACAGACTGGCTAACCTAATGAGGAGGGCTTTAAATTAGGTTCGATGGAGGCAGGTGACTAAAGCCCACAGGAAAGTGAAAAACATGGAGACTTAGAAGATGGATTAGAAATGGGAGGGAGCATGAGCTGGAATAGCAGAGAGAAAGAAGGGACAAGGCAGAACTGAGGGGCAAAATCAAATCAGTATCTTAGTTGTCTGTATACAAAGTCAAGAAGAAGTTACTTACGTTGACAGTAACAATGGGTCTTTGAGATGCGTTTCCTTGGGGGTACTACACAGTAGGTGTCGGTGCATCCCCACATCAATCAATCAATCAGAAAATGTGCCTAGCAGAATGTAGATGAACCACACATATGCAGTAGCTCCCTCACATGCTCATTTTCCATTAACTGTGTGTGCAGTGTGATTCCTCCCTCCATTCCTTCTCTATATTGGAATCCTGATTACTGGCTCCAAAGTAGAGGAGAGGAGAGTGGGTAGCGGAACACCCATGTGGGAACACATATCAAAGAACCTTCATAACTGTCAAGGTAAGTAACCACCTATTCGAGTGATGTCCCTGTGAGTGCTTTACATTAGGGATGTGTCTAGACTACATGGCTGTGTCTAGACTGGCCAGTTTTTCCCGGAAAATCAGCCACTTTTCCAGAAAAACTTGCCAGCTGTATACACTGGCCGCTTGAATTTGCGCAAAAGCACTGACTTCCTACTGTAAGAAATCAGTGCTTCTTGTGGAAATATTATTCTGCTCCCGTTCAGGCAAAGCTTTTGCGCAAAAGGGCCAGTGTAGACAGCTCAGATTTGTTTTCCACAAAAAAGCCCCGATCGTGAAAATGGCGATTGGGGCTTTTTTGAGGAAAAGCGTGTCTAGATTGGCACGGATGCTTTTTGGCAAAAAGTGCTTTTGCGGAAAAGCATCTGTGCCAATCTAGACGCACTGTTCCGAAAATGGTTTTAACGGAAAACTTTTCCGTTAAAAGCATTTCCAGAAAATCATGCCAATCTAGACACAGCCCATGGCTCTGTCGACAGAGCCATGTAGATGAGTGTACTCGGCAAAGGGAAACGAAGCGGCAATTTAAATAATCGCTGCTTCATTTACATCAAAATAGCCGTCGCGCTGTGCCGATCAGCTGATTGTCGGCACAGAGTGGTAGTCTAGACGGGGATCAGCCAACCCCAGATCCCTTTGTTCTCAGATCTTGTAAGTCTTGTTTCACGTGGCGAGTAATTACATCCCGGAAGAGCCGGCATGGAGCGATCTGCACAGGCGCAGAGCACAGAACCGCGCGGCTGGCAAGCGGGGCTTGCCACCGCTCCAGTGTGCTCCTGGCCTATCACCCCGCAAACCTATCTCTGTATCAGAGGCAGCAGCTCAGGGTTGAATTCCCTGAATTATTGCCTTTGGCTGTAATAAATGTACCAATTTCTAAGTTCATGAGCATATTATTTAGCATGTGCTTAATAATAAGCATATAAGTAGTATCAGAGAAGCTGATTAATTTGGGCTCACTTTTAAAGGCTGATGTGTGGCTTCTGGATGGGGTGTGAGAGTGCATGAATATTGTTAGAAAACAAGAGAAGTACTCATTTATCATAGGCATGTACTTAAATACATTGATGGATTCGGGCCATGGGAAGCCGTCTTGAAAGCTGGCTTCCTGCATGTACCAGCTCCTGCCTGCCACCTCACTCTCCATGTTGCTGCCTCTCCATTCAAGACAGCAACGTGAGGGGAAGGAGGCATGTGGCTCTGTGGAATCCG